ACTGTCCCACCCTCACCTTCAAAGCAGCACGCTCTTTCTTGACACTCTCCAAATCACTATTGGTGACTTGAACTTGAAGAGTCTCTTTGTGTTCTCTAGCTTGAGTAGTATGCAAACGATCTTTAGCCTCATCTAATTGTCGTGATAGAATCTCTTTAGATGTCTTCTCAGAGTTCGACGACCTCACTTTATCATAAGCCGTCGCCTGGGAAAATAATGACTTCAATGATTCCTCTATGCAAAATATGTCGAAATCACCAAGATCCCTCATGGTTCCAAGAACTAATTGGACATCTTCTTGAATAGACGAGATGGAATCAATTGAAGTCCGTACTATCCTCGCACGAAGATCTTGCCATAATTGGCGAAGAAAAACCCGCTTGTGATTTTTCAGAAAATTTTCACCCACAAAAACTGAACAAGCACCATTGTACGACCCTTTCGCAGTCTCTTTCATCTTGGATGCTCTGGCAGGCATTAAAGCAGTCGGCGACAAAGTTGCACCCATTGAGCAAGCCTTGGCAGTTGAGTGATGACTAGCTTGAGATTCCTCGCGATCATCAACGTTAATTATCTCGTTTTCCAACTAAAAAAAAAAAAAAAAAAATAATAAAATAAAAAATAAAAAAAAAATAAAAATAAAAAAAAAAATAAAAAAAAAAAGGGAAAGTGTTAAGTGCAACCTTCTCAGCAAAAGTGTCATTTGTTCGAGAATGACTGTCCACACTGTTATCAATATGAAGATCTTGTGGTTTTAAAGATTGCGGGTCCCTCTTCGGCCTTTTCCAATGACGTTCTATGTGGCTATCGTCACTCTCATCCGACGGAGGCAAAACGTTCCTCTTCTTTATATCTCTAGGAGGGTTTTTGGTTTGGAGCACATTTCCGCGAGAAAGATTGCCGAGACTATTTCTTGCCTCATCTTCTTTGTCTTCAAGTGGAATCTTACTTAACTCCAAGTTCACCAAACTCGCAACTTTATTTTCAAGATAAGTTCCGTAAGCTTTAGTCCACCATCTTTTATAGCCGTCCGTGTGAAACTTTCTCGAATTTTGAGGAATGACGGAAAATATCACTTTAGACATGGACTCGAGCAAAACACATAGACGCCAATAACGGAGTCCATCTATTAAAGAAGCCTCGCGAACGTCTTCATCAAGTACTCCAGGCACATCTTGGTAAAACCCAAATTGACGGCTAAACCGATGAGGACTATATGGCTCAATAACGAAACGATTACCACGCCACAAGGAGAGATAGCTCGAGCGAATGGCGATGAAATAATTTCTCTCGGACCCTTTTGTTGTTTCATCATCAACATATAAAGAAGACTCGCTCCTAGGGATCGTGGTGCAAGTCCAAGACATAAGATCTCCTTTGTGAATCCGTTTGCGTGCATCCGCGGGAGTGTAGTATCTAGCGCTTCCTTCTCCGGAATAAGATATCATCTTTGGGCCATCGACGGCTACGCCTTGCAGAACTTGACAATGGGTCTTGAAATAAAGCGCCAACCAACTATAGACGAAGTGAATAGGAAACGGAGAGTTCTCTTGATGGGGTCTCAAGGATCTCGAAATCCTATTTATGCCGTTGAAGATGCTTGCTAAGACAGGAACTGCAAGAGAGACTTCTTCGCCACTCGCCATTATGCTAGCCATCTTGAACGTTGAAGGACGTATCATGCCTACATCATCAGTAGGGAGAACGAAGGTGCAAAGCCAACAAGCCAAATGGGCCGCCAAGTATGTCTCGGACCTCAGTTCGACATCAACGCTAATGCTCGAAAACACAGCTTCTTCAATGTTGATCCATTTTGCATGTGCTTCAATATTGCCGGAAGGATTGTGAGTTGACTTGGGGCGAACACTTTTCTTTTCTTTGCGTGGAGGAGGTTGAGTGTACTTCTTCTGCTTCTTCGACCAAAACTGAATCCAGCTTTCGACAGAGACGTTGGAGGAAGGATCTTTAGAGCGCTTCCGAAGTAAGTGGTAGACATGGAATAGATATCGGCAGGAACGGTGAGAATATCGAACACCCTTTGCATCGGTACCAATGAGTTCTTGAGAGGCAGGGACAACTTCATCGTAAAGAAGCCCGGTTAACGGTAGCCCGGAGAGGATGTGCAAATCCCATAAAGAGATAGACATTTCTCCGGGAGACGTCAAGAGGGTATTTGTAGTCGGACACCATGCCTCGAAGAACGCCTTCATGATTTCGGAATTGTAGTCGTACGTGAAAAGGGAAGCATATACAGAATCGTAGATCTTCGCAGACTTTAGCTTGTGCTGGCAACGGCTGAGAACGTCTTCGGTCCATTCCCAGTACCCTTTGAAGAATTGAAAGCCGCCGGAAAGCTCGAGAGTATCTCCCCACTTGACTTTTCCCTCCACGATGTTGCCACCCAAAGTCGGCAGAAGGCTCGGACCGCTTGACTCTTCCGGAAGCAAGGATCTGTCGGGTTTATGATTTGATGCTCGCAAACTGTACACGTACTCGTACTTATTATGAGGATGCTCGTGGGACCAAACAGGCATGCGATTCGGAGTTGTGAGACGTGGCCATTGCTTTGCGTAAGAACCAATAAGGGGGGCATAAATCGTCAAGACGGTGCCTTTGTCGTTTGGTTGGTAACGATCGTCAAGAATTACCAATTGCTCGTCGCCAAGAGAAGAGAAAGATTGCTTGAAACAAACCATCGCAAAATCTGCCGAAACAGTCCGAAAGAAAGAACAATTAGTTCAACAAAAATATATAGATAATTCAATAAATAAAAATAATGGGGGCATGGAGCCGTGCTAAGATCGATTTTTCGTACCAAACCTCTCAAGCTGCAAAACCTAAACAAGAAAATGAGGGTCAGTAAATTCAAGAAAGGAATCAAGAGCATGTTCAAAAAAAATAGGGATTGATTCCTATTGTTGAAATAAAAAGGTTAGTTTCTCATAATCAAATCACCGAACACCTGGTGAGCATGATCAAAGAGGTGAATTGTGCGAATAATCAATGGCAGAAAGCCTACCGGAAATTCAAAGAAAACACCAGCAAAAAAAAAAAATTTAAGCAAGAGTGCAAAAGAGAAGCCTGAAATACTCAAGCAAATCCTCGATGGTTGGTTGAATGAAAAAAGTGTGCAGAGGCGTTCCTTTTATAAGCATGAACAAGAGCAATTTGATTATTATTGGGATTAGGATTTTCCAATTGAAAGGGATTCACAAATTAACTAGAGATAGGAGTTCTCAGTTTATCTTTGAGAAATCGAGTTTTAATCTCTCAAGATTGTGGCCTCGGAGAATTAATTTTCAGAGTTTTAATTGAAGGAAATTGATAGTTCGAACACAAAGCCTGGAATATGCAGTTGAAATTGGACTTGGAAAAGGATTCAACCATGAGACGTTTCTTGGTTTTCTTCCGAAACATCTTGATAAAGAAATTTAAAGTCTGAGAATTTAATTTTTTGTATTCTCTGCATATAGAAACAGAGATTAAGTTTGAATAGAATAACACCAGAAGTCCAAGACTTGATGTGGGCCACGTGGATGTACATATACAAAATAAAAGATTAAAAACAAAAAGGTGGTGGAAAAGCAAAGGTCTACCGAATTAGTGTGGACGGGTCTTTCTACAATTCAAGTCTTGCATCATCTTTAATGTCGGTTCGAATAAACTAGTGGGCCGGATTGGTCGACGAATAGATTGGTCCAAATTTTATTAATTGGGCTTATAATTTTTAAAGTCCATTTATCAAATAGCTCGGCCGCATTCGTGGTTAATGTCCGATCGCAGACGAGAAGACCTGATATTTATTCGCGACTTATTTACGTCAATGAGCATTGTTCGTCAACAAGTCTCGAGGGGGCATTTGTAGACGAACGAATTTTCAAGCAATTAAATTGCTAATTTCCATAGAGCCGAGTGATTTTTAATCAAGTGGCAAATATGTAATTATGCATATAAAGTCATATATATTATATATTAAATATCAATTATATGTTTTTTATTTAATATTAGGAATTAAATAAATTCCTAATTTAAATAGATAATTGACTTTAAATATATATATATATATTGACCAATAGGATTATTTCTTCTCTGCCAAGTTACAAGAGATAAATATCAATTTAATTCGGACCAATCAAATCGCGCCACGTCATTAGTAAGGCCCATCAAGGACTCTTATTCTACCATTATAAATAGGGATCCTCCCTTCACAATTCAAAGACACAACTGAAGGAGCAGAAATCGTAGGAGCAAAATTCTCTCTACAACTCAAGAAGCAAGGAAGAAGAATCCGTAGGAGGTAAGATTCTCTCTCTACATTCAAAGTGTTCTTCGTCTACATTCAAAGTGTTCTTGAGCAAGTTCAAGGCAGTCTTCATCAAAATCTAGCGTTCGATCCGAGATAACGGTGCCAAACCTTCGGATTAACGTTAATCAATTCAAGTCAGGATCACCGGAAGATTGAAGGGCCAAATCCATCAAGAATTTCAAGATCTTCAAGTCAAATCAAGTCAAAGTTCAACGTTCGATCCGAAATTCAAGTCGTAAGACCCTCAGAAAACGTTATTCAAATCCAAAATCAAATCCGGAGAAGATCAAGTCAACGACCCGACTCCGAAAATTCAAGTCAACTATATATTGTTCTAGAGAGAAGAATCAGAGGATTAAAATAGAGATTGTAACCCGCAATTTATTTATTTTAATTCAATAAAATCATCTTTGTTCAATTTTTCTTGTTTGTTTATATCGCAGATAAGAATTTGTTGTTACAACCCATGTACGGGTAAGTGGTGCCAGTCGTAGAGTATGAAGGACACGAAATGGACGACCATCTATGTTTGTTACCCAAGTACCGGTAAGTGGTGCCAATCGCAAAGTATAAAAGACAGGAAACGGATACTTCACTTGTTGAATTTTTTTATCACATACAATACGACGCCCCCTTTCTGTTCCTCGTGGAATGTCTTCGATCACACACATAAACTCTTCTTTCTGAGCTACCATCAAGCATAAGTCTCTAAGAAGATCATGGATCATGCAATTTTTCACATTTCCATTAGATCCCATTGTATGTTTTATAATGAGATTTCTGTCAATGAGATCATTTATGTAACCTCGTGCAATCTCTTCCAAGCTTTGTGATTCCTTCGATTTTATAAATCCTTCAGCCACCCAAAGTTTGGTCAATCGAGAGACAAGAATCTTATGGTCTTCTGGAAAAATTGCCATGTAGAGAAAACATGGTTTAAGATGAGCAGGCAAGTATGTGTAACTCAAAGATAATATACTCGAACAATTCTCGTCCTCTCCAGAGTTGAGAAATGAGTTTAAATCTTTTGCAATATTTTTCCAGTATTTTTGCGACATATGGGACCTTCCAAGAAGTCCACCAATCACAGTAATCGAAAGGGGAAGTCCTTTGCATTTCTTAACAATCTCCTTTCCAATATCCTCTAGTTCAAGAGGGCAACCGGCCTCACCAAATGCTTTTTGACAAAATAGATCCCAACTTTTATCCTCATCTAGAAAACTCAACTCAAACAACGAGGAGTCGAATTGAGTAGCCACATGCGATATCCTTGTGGTCACAACAATTCGACTTCCATTATTGTTTTCTGGAAAGAAAAGATTTAAATTGTCCCAAGCTTCAACGCCCCAGATATCATCAATTACAATCAAATATCTCCGACCCCATAGTATTTTGTGCAACTTTTGTCCTAACAATTGCTCATCGTCTTCACTATCGATATCACTACTTATCATTGAGAGAAGTTGTAAGAGAAGTTCTTTGACACTATACTTTTGAGATATAGTAACCCAAGTGCGAATATCAAAATGGTGAACTATAAGTGAATGTTCGTAAGCATTTTGGGCGAGAGTAGTCTTACCAATGCCGCCCATGCCAACGATTGGAATGATATGCCGGTTAGACCTTTGCCCCGTGAGCTTGTCCAAAAGTTGAAGCAACTGCTCGTCAAATCCGACCATAGTATTCTTGCCGGTGGTAATAAGAGGTGTACTTGATGAAGTAGTTGTAGATGTGGGCTGCATATCATCATTGGATCCACTTTCATCTCTGAACTCGATAACTTTTTTCTTGATAGAATCCATGTCTTCTATTACCGCCTGGAGGTCGAGCATGGAAATCGAACCGGCGTTATTTTCCTCCTTTCTAGCCTTCTTTAGGCGCATTGAATGCATGATATCTTTTACTACTTTCCGTAGACGATGAACTTCAACGGAACCTGCAGGTTGAATTCGGTCAACGACATGAGATTCGATTACGTCTTCAGCCGCATAGGCTGCAGAAGCAATTCGACGTTCTAAAACTTGTGCCTGCTCGCTTATAACTCCATGAGTATCAGTTTCTATGAAATCTAGCAAGAAACCGACCTTTTCGCCAAGTGATTCGAGCTGATTCTTGTCGAAGGAAATCGAAAGGCGAGGATGATTTTGGATATGGTCAATGATAGTCAAAACAGAAACTAGAGCTGCATAAGCTGCCATTTCTGATATATGATACTCTTTAAATCTTGGTTTTTTAATTAGGAGAATACAAAGTGAACTCTAATATGTATGGCTGGAGCAGCAGCAAATTAAAATAAAATAAAATAAAAAAAAAAAAAAAAAAAAAAACGAGAGAAATGGACTATTCATCAAAAAAAAAATTTATAAGTCAAAGTCTTGTTGGCAAGTTCGGCGAAACCATCCTGCAAGTGGCATGCGAGCTGTCTAACCTAACCCATCATGAATTATCAAAATAAATTAGCTGTCAAGTTCTAAATACTAATATTAAATTCTAAATATGAAGACAATTTGTCAAAGCTGAATGTATTATATATATTTCATAGTCTTCTAATTGGGATCTTACCAAAACAAATAGTATTACATCTCATCATATTCCTCATACATTTTCTATACAATGAAATAAAGATTAGAGATGGCCGACCAAATTCATCTGTAGCCTATGCGGTTGATGACTATTCTCACTTTTTTTACGGACTGAAATACGTACCCCTACATGTTGTTTCTTGTAGAGGAATGTGAAAGTAATAAAATAAATATATAAGGGGTGTCATAAAATAAATGAGGTATTAGCATAGACCCCCTGGGTTATCTCTAATCTATACTATATATAAAAGGATGAATAGGGTGGTGGTTTCTTCCCTTTTATATAATGCCTATTATACCCCTATGTTACTCAATTGTAACATTAAGTGATTATGGCCAATTGAGTCATTAACAATTTAAATAATAAATAGATCAACTTACATTTATCATTCTCTACAAAGAAAACATTAAAGAAATTCATTTAATTTAGTATTTTTATAAATACGAAAAGTTTATTTACTAAAGATTAATTATCATAATATAAATTATGTATTACTTAATAATACATACGGAGTTCATGATTAAACTCGAAGTTTAACAATTACAATTTTTATTTTTGCATTTTTAAGTCAAATAAAAAATAAAACAAATATTTTATTTAAGATAGAATGTAATTCATTTACCATTTTTGTAATATATCAATTGAAAATATAATCAAGATAGAGTTATTTCATTTTTTACTTTCAAGACAAATAACAAATAAAAATATTTTTACCTTTTTGTAATATATTAATTGAAAATATAATCAAGATAGAGTTATTTCATTTTTGACTTTCTAGCCAAATAATAAATACACTTTTTTTTTTTTTTACAAAATAGAATGTAATTTCATTTTCCATTTCTTTAATAAAAATAATTCGTTACAAGATAGAATGAATGTTATTTCATTTTAGGTTTTGTCTGAATATATTAATTCAAAATAATCAAAATTCAATGTTAATTTCATTTTTGTTTATTTCGCATACTTCGGGCCTGAATAATTAACCTTTGAAACTATTATTTATAATGTTAATATTTTTATCGTTTAGATAAAACTAATCTACTTTCTTCGATAATTGTAATATACATGTATAGTACATTCAGAGAATAAAGAGAAAAAAAAATACTATAAACATAGGAAAATTAGAAAGTATTCGGTATTTATTATTCAATTTATTTTTATTTATGATATGGTAAACATTATAACTTGAATAATATTTACTCCCTCCATTCCATTTTAATTGTATTTTTGGGTTAACTCACACGTATTAAGAAAACTAATAAATGTGCATGGATTCTAAATCATAATAAAACGACTAAAAAACCACTCTTATTTCGCACCCAAAATTGACTCTAATTGGCGAAGATGAACTTACAACGAGCTCGTAGGAAATTCACATGTCGTAGCCCATAAACAAATGTATTTCATAAGCTACAACTGAATGAAAAAAAAAAAAAAAAAACAAAGGAGATCAAACAGTAATGCACCTAAAACTTAACAAATGGACAAAAAATAATACGTTTGGGGAAAAAATATCTTCATTAATATCGTTTACACAAATGATGCATGGTTAGACTGATACGTCAACGTGCTATATAAAACTAAGTCTGCAAACATCCAATAAATTATATTTATTATTCAAGTAAATGAATTAACGAATGATGAAAATTGACCACGGAAAAGAAGAAACAAATAAACCCAACAACATTAATAACTATTTTAGTAAAAAGAAATAGTAAAATAGTTTCATTGAGAGTGGGAAATTGTGAATTGCATTTCGCACCCAAAATTGACTCTAATTGACGATTTACATCCTAATATTTCAAAAATTGCAAAGTCCACCCTCAAATGATATTTTTCATGGCAAACTACAGCCTACATTAAATTCTTATGATATTTTAACCAAAATTCAGTATTTCACGATGGTTTAACTTTTGAAGGAATCTTAATGTTTGATGTATATTATAGTTTTTATTTCATATTTTTATATTATTATTATTATACTTGAAATATAGATAAAAAATATTAACTAATTATTTTATTTTATTTATTAATTAAAATTGAGATTACAATTTTAAAATAATTATCTCAAAAAAGGTGAAATATTTTTTGAGAACTCTACATACGGATCTAAAACCTTTTAAATTATAATGGATATTTAGGTCATTTTTCACCGCTAAAAAATAATTTTGTTTAACACTTTTGTTTTAATATATTTATTTTTCATCAGCTATGCCTTTTTTTGTTTTCCCAAAATAAAAATGTTCCCCATGATTTTGTTTAATTTCTTCATTTCTTGTAATATATTTTGTAAGTTTATGAAAAAATGAGATTTTTGAATTATTTTGTACATTAGAACTGAATCAAAATAAGAAGTTTTTGAAATTATATATTTTTTTACGGCACTATGAAACTCAAATAAAACATCAATTATGTTTTTAAATTCTTAATACAAATAAAATAATTAAAAAATATGAAGTATGAAATAAAATACAAACAAGAATGATATTTTTTTTCAAAGTTAAAATATCGTGCTATATTAACTTTTTTGGTTAAAGTCTCACAAAAAATTATGTAGGGTGCATTTTCCCATGAGATATATAATTTATGGGTGAACTTTGTCAACTTTTAAAATCTTTGGGTTCAAAATGTCAATTAGTTTCAATTTTGAGGTTCAAAACACAATTCACTCGGCTACAAGGAAGAAATGAATGCGAGTTCCGGTAAAATAAATGTCAAAAAAATAACTAAGAAGCAAGTAAATATCATTCAATTTTTTTATAACAACGATGATAAGTAAAAATTGTAATAATTGAAATGAAAAGATAAAAAAATAATAGGGTCGTAAATATACATAGGAAAAACCGTATGAAATTATTTATCAATGATATTCTATTCCAAATAATTATCAATGTCACAAAATATTACTCTAATAACAATGTAACTATCATATATAAATTATAATAGTAGAAAAATTAATACGACGCGTGCAACGCACGCGCACCTTTCTAGTTGTTCAAAAGCTCCATATGTTAAAAAAATTAACGAAAACCCCCCTACGTCGTGTTTTGCAACGCATTCCGGTCATTGCATCAAAATTGTCTGTTGTAAATTTTAAACAATTCAATTTTAAATAATAAAAGGAAAAAAGACCGAGGGTTCGTCGGAGAAGCCACCGGAAAAACACGAAAATTAGTATTTGTCTGTGGATTTTTTTTCTGAAAATCTCGAATTATTTCTGTTTTTTTCTGAAAATATCGATCGGGCCAGATGTTTCCTGGGATTTTCAAGGGATTTGAGATCTGTTTTCTTGTGGCAAATTTGCACGGGTTGTTGCTGAGTTTTTTGCAGTAAAAAAATGAGCTTGAAGATTATTCTTTTTCACCTGTTAGATTTTTTTGGATCTTGATCAGAACATAGCTTGAGGCTCAAATCTGGGTGTTTTTTGTTTTTCGAGAGAGCTTGAGGCTTCAACATTTAGAGAGAAGAATGAGTTGAAATGTGCTTTACAAACCAATCATCTGAATCCTCTTTTTTCGCTGTCGAAGAGTCGCCAAAGTTTTGCCTTTCGTCGTGGAGGATCCGCGACCGAAACTAAAGGGCTGATGACCTGTTGCCTGAATGAAAAAATTGCAAAACAGTCCCTAACATAAGGGAGAAGAGGGCTCGTTTGAAATTGAAGGGAACTGAATTGAAAATATTGAGAACTTCATTTTGGGGCTTGTTTTCCAAATTTCAAAATTGAAGGGTATTTGAGTCTTTTTAGGTTAAAAAACCAACCCCCAGTCGCATATTTGGCGAGTGTATGTCACCATCAACTCGGAAAGGCCTTATTGCCTTTGACTAACTTTAATAGGGGCGTTCTTGCTAATTGTTTTAAGACAGGGACTTTTGTGGCAATTAGAGATATCACGGGGTGGTCAGTGCTAAAAGCTCTAAAATAAATATATAAGGGGTGTCAATTTTATAATTTGTGATATTTTTTATGCTTGAAATAATATCTATTTTTTTTAAATAAAACAGTGGTTGCACTATAAAATGTGACTGTTGGAACACTCAAAATTGGTAATTACACTATGAATATGCCCTGGAGATGATTATTTGATGACGATGATGATGAAGAGCGGTGGTAGAGGAGGAGTTGTTGGTGGAAGGAGGAGGAGGATTAGGGGTTTAAAGAATTTCTGAAATTACATTTTGGTCCTTAGGCCATAGATTATTTATAACTAAATCAAAAAATAATTGAGTTTATGTTTATTTATAAGAGGGCATTTCTGAAATTTCATTAGCAAAAATAAAGAAAAATTCGGACCACTAGCACGTGAAAGACACAATTTGCTTCTACGGGTATTGATACATGAGTATTCACACAGGGCCAGTTCTAACTATAGGCGAAAGAGGCGGTCGCTTCGAGGCCCCGATTTTTAGAAAAAATAAGGGGCCCCCAAATAATATTTTAATATTATTTATATATACTAGTCATAGTATTAAATGATACTTTCCATGTTCCACAATAACTGTCTCTTTTTAAAAATATTTTTGTTTCATATTATCCGTCAATTTAGATTTTCATGTTCCACAATACTAAATTAAATGCATTTTTCATGTTTTAACCTTATTAATGAAACTCTAATCA